ATTTTATTTTTTTACCCTACAACAACACGAAATATAATAAATATTTGTTCATTTTTTGTCTTTTTCTTATTTATGTATTTGTGAGCGAAACTTGTGTGTTCTAAACTCAGGTAGATATCTCGGATTTCGTAGGTATTTTGGAGAAATATTTCGACGATTTCTGCGCGAATTTTTTTGTTTCTTTTTCTTTTTTTTTTACGATACGATTAGATATAGAGAAAGAACAGGGGACAGAAGTTGTATCCAAAAATAGCGAAATATTTGTGTGGCGATTTTTCATGATGATTTAAATACCATCGAAAAACGTGGCGCCGTTTTCACATTTAGACGAAAGATTATAAAATTTAATAATGGATGGACAATGATGGCGTAGTTATAAGTTTATATACGTATATAATATATAAGGTGTTATAAAAAAAAAAATATTAAACGAGAAAGGTCTTTTCGATGAATTAAGTTTCTTATACACATACCAAAAGAGAGATAGTAAAGATAATAAATAAATAAATAAATAAATAAATAAAAAGAATATTATACAAATCGCTGAAAGGGAAAACCCAACTGTCGATACATTTGATGCATAATAGACAATCGAGATTTATTAGCAGTTAGAAGAATCGGACATGTGAAACGCCATAAGGGAAAAGATAGTGATTGATTTAGCTGTGATGAGGATGCATTAATACGTTAATACGAAAGGTAATTAAGCCTATTGTGTCGACGTTCAAACTCGTGTTTATATTCACGAATTACACGCGAGCTTAAAAGGCGCTAATATTATTTAATTAACTAGAAACTGAAGGATTAACTAAACGAACGAACGAACGAACGAATGAACAAACGATCGATCGATCGATCGATCGATTAATCGATCTATACGATTTCTTTCCTTCTTTTCTCGAACTCAAAATCGTGAGATCATCGATCGCGATCTCGTACGAGTTAGAAAGTGTAACGTCAAGCGTTCAAACGATTATTAAATTTTCTACATCGAATATATAACATCATGTACATGCATAGATTATATTTAATATATTTTTATATACAGAAAGAGAGAGAGAATATTTCATTTTAATTTTCATGAAACATTTCAAATGTTGATAAGAATATTTGGTAATATATAAAATATAAATACACTATTATTTTTGTATAAATAATTATTTTATATTATTATATTATTTAGAAATATTAGATTTTTTTGCGTATGTCCATGTGTATTATATATTAAAATAAATATATAATATATTTAACATATGTACATTTAGTAGTAAAATATTTTGTCATTAATATAAAATTAGGTCAAGATCACAAATGTTATATCACTAAATTCGTTAATAATTCATCATCTACAATATAACTTTTAACAAATACTTTATACATTGATGCATACGTAAAAAAAAAAAAGAATTAATTTCAAATGCTATAATAAATTGAAACACCCTGTATACAATACATGGATGATATTTAACGAACCAAAAGATTAATATCTGCAACAAATTTTCTTTCTATTTCTTCTTGCGTGAATAAGAAAAAGAATAAAATAAGAAAGAAATATAAACATTTGAAATTATCTTTTAGAAAAGGCACCATAGGTACCAAGAACAAATACCATCGATTGATCTATCGATTCGAAACGCCATTCATCAGTCGTCCACAGACAAATTCATGAAATCGGCCCACATTTGCTAAGTCAACTTTGTGAAAAGAAAACGTTCTCATATTTTACGTAGATAAAACGCGTATTATCTGACTCATTTTCTTTCTTTCTCTCTCTCTCTCTCTCTCGACAGGTTAAGGTGTGAGCTTAGTCGTGTGACGTACGACAGTAATTACATGCTTTAGAAGAGTGGTGGAGGAATTAGGACATCGACAAAAGATCTAACCGATGATCGAAAGATGAAAGACTAAGAAATACGATCGATCTTTTGCTGTTAATGTAAGCTTGCTACGCACTTCCTTTTCAGAAAAAAATTATAAATTGTTGTTAAAATAGATATAGAATAAGCAAAAGAAAACAAAAAATAAAT